AGTCAAAATAATTTATAAATATCTGATATATATACAATAAAGACAAGCCATGCTGACCTGACTGCGGGTTAAAAAAAAAAAATAAAAAATAAAATATAATATTGTTTTTAAGATTAAATTTAAAAATTATTATTGTTTATAATGAGTTTTTAAATTTGATAAAAATATTTAGTTGTAATATATATTACACTACTCAAGTAAAAATATATAATTCATAAGTACACATAACTAGCCTGACAGAGGGTTAAAAAAAAAAAAAAAAAAATAAGTAAAAATATATAATCTATAAAGATTTAATAAAATATATATAATTAATTTAACAAAAAATTAAATTAAAAAAAAAAAAAAGTAAAAATTTATGTTAATTAAAATTTAAAATTAAATAATAATTAATAAAATTCTAAAAACAATAATAGAAAATAAAATTAATTATTATCAATTAATTTTTTTATGATAGATAAAAACAAGAGAAAAAAAGTATCACTCTCACTTGAAATTATTATTTTTATATACAGTATAATATTATAGATAGTAATTCTGTTCAAAAAAATTTTGATTATTACTTCTATATATAGCATGGTGTGTCAGGAATTCATGTGCAGTTTAATTATAGCATGATCTCACGGAAGTATAAAAAAAAAAAACTTTATACTTGAGATGGATCATATTAAGTTAGCATTTTAACTGTTTCTTTCATTGGTTATTATTTTATCTGCCCATTTTAGAAGGAACTGTAGGAATATCCATCCTGTTTGTCGACTTGACTTTCACGAGCTTGCTACAAGCCAATTTTTTTATGATTTATCTACCTCAACACCAATTTGTTGTTGACGATTTTACAACGGAGACGTAAACAAGCTAGTGACGAAAAAGTATTCTAAATGACATTTACAGAAACGACCCAATCTTTAATTGAAACGAACGACGAACGACGTATACAAGAGCTGATAGCTGCGTCTCAGAAGTTGTTAAGTCAAACCACGCAACCACCTACTCCAACTGCTACAGCAACTTCAGGTTTTAATTTCCGACCAGAGCCTGTTGACCAAGATAAGCAGCAATTGCGTCCAAGGAAACCGAAAACCAAAGCAAGTTCCGAAAATTTAAAATTTGGAGACGCATCCGATATTTCCTTACCTGTATCACGTAATACTTCAACCCCTTCCTTAGCTAGTATGACGAGTATTCCACCTCCGTCACATACCCTTAACAATGGTAACGGCAACAACAATATAAGTAGTAGTAATGGCCAAAACTTAGGTAGCATTGGATTACCAAATTCACAGGGCAACAATGTATCAAGTACTGCAAAGGTTGATAGAAAGTTTTCTAGAGAGAAATCTGAGCGCGAAATGCCAATGGGACCTCCTGAAATAATGAGAGATCCTACATCAGATTCGTTTTCTTCTCATGCGTACAGTTGGCCAATCGTCTTTGCAGTTATACCTCCAATGGGTGCGCTCATTTACGGGAAATCCGATATATGGAGTGATTTTCTACTATTACTCTTAATTGCTTTTTATTTATATAATATTATCAAAGGTATGCATATTAATTTATTTCTGAAAAAAGGAAGTTAATAATGCGTCAAAATTGAAATTTATATCAATAAGATGCTTAATAAAATGTGCTTATGTCATTCATAGTACCTTGGGAATTATATTATGCGGCGAGATCAAGACGCGTAATGAATGATAATATTAATAATGCAGATCCAGCACAAGAGGATCAACGAAATCATGCAGCAAAGGAACTTCGTCGACATGAGAAATGGGCGTTGTTATTAGTGATAGCATCTCCAATAATTGGCGGATATGCTTTACACGGCGCGAAACGGTATTTGACCGATTACGACAAATACATTTCTCATTTTAACATAGTACTTTTTGTGCTTGCCGCTGGTATTCGTCCCTCGATGCATGTGATTAGTCTTGCAAAAAACAGAACCTTACACTTACAAGAGCAAGTTCATTATCCAAGTACCGAAGTGGAATTATTAAAGAGACGTGTGCAACATTTGGAATACGAATTCTCACAATTACGTCGTGGATTTGCAACAAAACGAGATGTGATCAACATCAAGGATGACTTCGAGCCGACAATTTCACAATTAAATAAGGCTGTTAGACGAAATGAGAAAAAAGAGCAATATCTCAGAAATTATTCGGAAGAGAGATTTGCGTATTTGGAAAATAAGTTACGGGAGTTCGACACGCTAATTACTTACAAATTGCAGGAAGAACAGGCCGCAAGTTTATCGCGTAATATGATGCAAGTGATGTTTTTACCTTTAAACATTACTTTTACTATGTTCAGCTATGCAAAATATATTCTACCGAGATCTTTGAGAGGAGCAAGACAGACTCCAATGTTACAACCTGCTTCAAATTTAGATGAGGATGATGATAAAAACCGATTAAAGGATGATACGACACAAGAAATTTCCGTTGGAAGTCTTCAAAAGTATTAAGTTTTGGTATATGTTATCAATGTTTATATTGTTTTTTTTCGTACTTCCTATCTCATGCCGTTGGTTCCTTTTTCTTTCAGGTACCATTAGAACCTTTGATGCCATCCAAATCTATCATCTTTTCATGATCGCCTTGTCTGGTTTTTCGTATAACGTCGATCATGATAGATCTATAGAAATGTTTTTTTTTTTTTACATAATTCGAATATTGTTACATCAATAATTAAGAACTCTTTTTTTGTATATATTTCTGATACATCAATACCGTTAGCAACAAATATTACATTTTATTTAAGCATTTTCATTGATCCTAGTAACGAAAATAATTACGAATTTAACGAATATATTTTAAAGTGCGGATTTTTAAACTTGAATAAATATTTACATTTCAAATGTTATAGATACAGTATATTAAAATATATAATTGACTCGTATTTGATAAACTATATATTGCATGTTATTTTTGATCCTCGATCCCAAGTAATTTATAACCAAATCAATGATATCTATTATGCATTGATTGATCTAATTAATGTTAAAATTTTAAGGTTTATTAATATTTTTAAAATCATTAATAAAAAATTTTTGCTATTGTATTATAAAGTATCCTATTTATAAAGATGAAAATAGAGGAAAAAAGTAGATATGTATATATAATATAAATAAAATATTTTACAAAATAATTACTAAATATCTATTTAAAGATTATAGAAGCTATTAAAAATTCATAAATCCATTAATTAAATTTTTTCATTAAATATTTAATAATACATACAATATGTAACAAAACTTTTTGAAATTATAAAAAATTATCTAAATAATATAAAAATTTAAATGTATATTTTTTAAAAGTTAAAGAATAAGATTACTTAAGACTATTTATATAAGTTTTATATTATTTTACAGTATATTAAATTTTTTATTTAAATTCCAAAAAAATTACTTATAAAATTGATTTATAAATTTTTTATTATGTTTTTACTATATAAAATTAGTGTAGAAATTTACTAAAATTTTTTTTACTTGTTATAATTCAATGAAAAATTATTTATTTTATATAAAATTTTATAAATAATTTTTTTTTTTTTTTTTTTTTAATCCGCAATCATGTCACAATGGCATGTCTTTATTGAGATATTGAGAAATACCTAAATATTTTATAAATTTTCACAAAGTGACTAACTTGTTGTTGTATATTATTAGTTAAAGGACTACACTACTTAAAAAATATAAGGAGTTTACTAAACTAGTTTGGATTAAACAAAACTAAGTCTAAACTAGATACTCTAAGTCAGATTTAGGAAACAATATTTCACTTTCCTAGTAGCTTGACAATAGTACCTCTAAGTCAACCAGGGTTATCGCCAACAGTTTGTTATTGTAGATTATCCTAAAAAATGATAAATTGCTAAAGTTGGCACTAGAAAAAAGAGAAGGAGGAATGCAAATCAAAGTCCTTCAAAAAGTTCTTACTCCATTTCACAGTTTTCTCTCGAAAGGAGTTTGACTGATTGGAATATTCTTTAAGTTTCATGATATTTGAGGAACTTAGTCATTCCTGAAAGTGACTTCAAAAAGAACATTTGAGGAACTTATTCTTCTTTCAATGTATGAATTCGCTTATCGCTATTGAGGCCAGCACCATATTACGGAAGAGTTTGCCTGATCAGAATAAAGAAATCTTTTCAAGAACTTTGCCTGACTGGGATAGAAGCTTGGTGACCTTAGCTTTTGTTCAAGAAAATCTTTTCACCATCTGAGGAACTTAATAAGAGATGGGAGTTGAATCTTCTTTTTGTACCCATCGCTCACTTTTTGATATCATAATTGTTTCCTGAAGGTTGAACATATATGATTGAAGGGGACACTTTTTCTAGAACTTTCTTTTTTACATTACCAATGATGTATCAAGACACGTGAATGTGACCAATAGGAGCTTGTTTATATTCCAAAAATTAATGTATTTCATATCAATCAATCACCTTTGGTGAGGATTTGTACTATCAAAAATTCAGGGTCAAACTGAGGTAGGTAAAATTCTTCAGAAAACCATAAAAGCAATAGCTCTAAGAGGTTCACAAGTGACTAAAAGGGGAAAAATAAGCCCTTCCATCATTCAAAACCTCTATATACCTCTTGCTTCAAAGATTAAATAAGTCTTCAAGTACTTCACAATCAGTTCTTCTTCCTTTGGAAACTTTCTTGCCATTGGTATCAAAGGTATTGCTTGAATTTTCTTGGTCACTAGGAGTCAAGTTTTGAGTGAAAAGATTTGTAAACAATAGAAGAAGGATAGAAGTAACTCTTGAAGTCATGCTTCAAGTTGTTTTAAGGAAAATATTAAGACTTTAATAACAAGGAAGTATAAAAACTTCTTATAAACATCTTTTTGTATATAGTCAAAGAATCAGTGGAAAGAGTTCATTATAATTCATTTTATAAATAATTTCTTTATAACTAAAAAAACAAAATTAATTAAGATTTTTATATAAAATAACTTAATAAATTTTTTAAAATTTATTTTTTAAAAAAAATTTTATAATTTTTTTTTTTTATGTAAAATTTTTTATTTATAAATTTAAAATTAAAATTAATAAATAAATTACATAATAATTTTAATATTTTTTTTATATTTTTTTATATTATACTTTTAATTTGAATAATTTTTTATTAATTTATAAACAAAATATTCATTTTAAAAAATTTCAAAAAGTTTTGTTACATACTATATATAAGTAAAGATGGGTCCCTAAATGGAAATGCAGGGACATAAGTCAAATGTTCCTCACTAGTAAACATTAAAATTTTTAAATTAATAACTATAAAAAAACTACACACAACTGTTCTCTATTAACCAAATCATTGATTTATAGCATTTCTTGATTTTTGTCCCTATTAAAGTGAAGAGCTATGAATTTTGTCCCTCAAAAAAGAACATAAGTGATCTGTAAAATTTTATATGCTAAATACTTTAGGACCCATTATTAATTGGAATATCTTAAGGAAATCATTTAGACCTTAGATTTTTTCTATTAAAGCTTTGTCTCCATTTGAGGAATTTAGGTAAGAGATAGGAGTTTACAATTTATATTGTTCATTACTTGATCTTTTGATATTATGAAAGTTTTTATTAAAGAACTTGAGCTTTTAATAGCAAATGTTTCTGGAACCTTCTTTTTAATTACCAATGATATTATTAGAATATGTGAATGTAACTAATAGGGACTTGTTTACATTCTAAAACTAATATATTTGTGTTAGCCAATAATCTTTGGTAAATATTTGTACTATCCAAAATTTAGGATCAAATTAAAATAGACAAAATTCCCTAGAAAATTGTGAAAGTAGAAGCTTTAAGAGAGTTAAGACAGTCAAAAGAAAGAAAATAAACCTTTTTACTGCAGAAAACCTTTATAAACTTCTTGCTTCAAAGATTAGATAGGTCTTCAGGCACTTTACGGTCAGTTCTTCTTCTTTTGGGAACTTTCTTGCCATTGATATCAAAGGTATTACTTGATTTTTTTGATCACTAGAAGTCAAGTTTTTGAGTAAAAGATTTATAAACAAAAGGGAAAGAATAGAGGTGACTTTTGAAGTCATACTTCAAGTTATTCTAAGGAAAGTATTAAGACTTTATTAACAAGAAAGTATAAAAATTTTTTGTGAAAATCTTTTTTGTGTATGGTCAAAGGATTAGCAAAAAGAGTTGCTTTTTTTTTTGTTTTTTGATAAGTCTTAAATTGTTACCTTCTTCCAATTATTTTTCCCTTTTTCTTTTTTAACTTAGCAATTTGTTGGTTTTTAGACAATCAATAGTAACAAACTGTTAACAATGATCCTGATAGATAGAGATTATTACCATCTATCAGAAGAGTATAATATTGTTTTCAAAATCTGGCTTAAAGTATTTATATATAAAGATGAGTTAGTCACTTTGTAAATTTTGTAAATTATTATAGATTTGCTTTAATTTTTCAATAAAGATAAGCCATCATAACATGATTGCAGATTAAAAAAAAAAAAAATGAAGAAAAAAAAACACATATTATAGATATATTAATTAAACTATCAGATAAATATAATTAATAACAAATACTATAAATTATACAAACTATCTATAATACAATATCTACTATAGATAACATCTTAAATAGGAATTCAAGATCAAGCAAATACTTGATCCTAGATAGTATCACTGCTAGAATTCTAAATATTAATCTAAATATCTTTATTAGAGCCATAGTTCTCAAATAATATATTTTTTATTTATGGGTTTAGAAGCAAAGTAAAAAAGGAAATCTTTTGGTCTTCTTTTTGAAGAACAAGGTATTTTAATATAATAAATCAGAAAGAAAAATTACAACAAGTTTTTTATACTTCCTCAAAGAAGCAATTGGTGATAATAAATTACTATGTAATTAGAGATTTCTCAAAAAAAGAAATAAATATAGAAATTAAATTAACAATAACAATATAAATTTTCTCCAATATCAAAATTGAAATGAAAAAAAGACAATAAAAGATCTGGTCAAAATAGAAAAAATTATCAAAAAAATTAAATAGAATAATATTGTAGAACAGTTTGCATATACTACAAGAAATAGATCAAAATCATCCAGTCTAAATTCATTTTATATCAAAAAAGATGATAAATACAAAATGAGAATATTCATAACTAGACACCTAGAAGAATTAGAATATGAACAAGTGTCATATCGTTAAAATATATTGAGACTACCAAAATATTCAAAGCCTTTTAAAAAAGTTCCTTAATAACAATATCCAAATAACTTTTTATTATGAAAAAAAAATGCTTTACAGTATCTAGAATAAATTAACAAAAAAGAAAAAGAAAACTTTATAGTCATATCCTTAGAGATAGAAAAATGGATGAATGCCTTATATCTTATATATAAGAAAATATTTCAACAAAAAAAAAAGAACAAAAGATCCTTAATAGTAACTCCTATTAATATTAATTAAAACTACTCAAAATATGA